TTGGCAGGGCTATTTTTAGCGCCGAGCCTTCCCTCCTCCAGCTCCCGGTGTGGTCCCGTGAAGAGCCGAGCTGTCACATCGGAGCGAGCAGGACGGCGGCGGGCGAGCCGCGGAAGCTGGAAGAGCCGTCAAGAAGAGCGGCCTTGGAAGCCACGAGGTTTTCCTAAGGGAAAACCACGGGAAGATGCTCGGGATGGGCTACGGTTTGATGGCTTTGGTGGGTGCTCAAGGTCCTCAGTGGAGAGGGACATGGAGGATCCGAGCTCTCCCTGCTCCCTGCCTTTGCTTGCATCAGCGAAGAAAAGAAGAATTAGAAGAAAAACGGGATTCCTGGAGGAGAGACAAAATGCCGTGCGTTTCCGTGAGGAAGGGATTCAATTTGTGTCACGCAATTACATTTTTCTTCTGCAGCCTGAAATAATTACACGGCAGAGCGGGGTGAGGAGATCTGATTCCGGAGCCAAGCGCTGAGAGGGGAGGCTGAAAGAAAAGAAGACAAATGCAATCATTAAGATACAATGGCCCTTAATTAGGCTTTCTCTTTGATTAAGCAGTAATTAAACATTGCCATGCTGAAAGGTTTGGGGGGGTTTATGCTCCACCAAGGCCCTAATGTGTTCCTGAGAGGTATCTGTGAGGAGCAAGCTCCTCAAGGGAGCGGAAAGCAGAGGTCGGAGGCTCCCCATGGTTTGCACACCATCCCGGCAGCTCTCTGCTGGTTTGCTCCCCTGCTTTGTACCTGACAGCGAGCCCACAAGTGCCCACATGGAAGAGTTTCCTCCAACTAGGCAAGCACTTGTGGTGACAAAACATCTCCAGCATCTTGTGAGAAGGTAGAGATTCTCCTGATGTTCCTCGGGAGAGAAGTAGAGGAGGAGCAGGAGGACATCCCAGTGCTTGGAGTGAACACCTGAGTAGCGTCCAGTTGATCCCTGAGGGAAAACTCCATCAATTCCTGCTGAAATGGGTCGATCCCTAGGTCTGACCCAAAAGCTGGAGATCGGTTTAACTGTGAGCAAAGCACAGAGCCAGGAACTAGGGAGATTTCTCAGGGGCACCCATGTGATGTCCCATGTATGGACGTGGCATTTTCAGTGCTACAAGGGAGAATAAAGAAACAAAACTGACATTAAGTTAAGCTCAAACAACTCGAGCAATTGGGAGGTTGCCTTTGCCCAGGTGGCAAATTCAGGCTTTGGTCCACTCCACTCCTATGATATTTGTCCCCTTTCCAAAGCTTCCTATTGTACAAGGTCAAGTACCATATCCACCACCGGTCATGTAGGTGAGCATGGGCTTTGGGTGGCCCTCACCTTCCAGGTGGAAGCCCATGTGGCCCCAAGTGACACTGTCAGTCTGGTAGGGTTGGATTGCATGGATTCTTAAGGATTCTATGACTCTATGAGGGTTGGGTGGACGGCCAACATCTCCACCTGCTTCCGTTCAGCCCAGCCCTGTGTCTTGCTGGGGACAGTGACCAAGTCAAGAGGTTGTCCTCTGGAGAGAGGCTCTTGCTGCTCCGCCTGGCCTGGCTTTGCAGCCTCCTTCCCAATGCAACCCCCTGAGAGCCCACCTTTCCCCAAGGATGAAACCTCCTTAGGGATCAGCTGGACGGTCCCAGCGTGTTTCTCCTGTAGGTTTGCCACCCTGAGCTTTCCGAAGCAAGGCATCTCCGGAACAGGAGCCTGGGCTGAATGACTTGCAACATTTGGCTATTAGCAGCCAAAAAGAAAGAGAAGAGAAGGGCTTAAATCATGCAACATCAAACGTGAAGCAAACGTCAAGCCCCCCTTATTCCTGGACATTCCTGCACAGGTAAAAATAGCCCTTTGATGGCTCGAAGGGGAGAAGTGCTTCTCATCTCTTAACACCGAGCTCCCCCCTGCAGCCTCCCTGCCACTTCCAGCCCCGACTGCGAGCTGCTTTTTCCAGGCCATAAAGCGACAGCTCTTGCTGAGAATTTCCCGGGGCGAGCTTGGCCTGCTCTCTTCTGCACAGCGTGTACTTTGGGTAATGTCTCGGGGAAAATTTTTTTTTGGTTGCTCACATACCCGCTGTTTTCTGATAACCCAGAAAAAGAATCAAGAGCCTTAAGTATTATGATTATGCTATTAAACCTTTGGTGTATGGAGGAAAACAAATCAGGGCAAACCAGCAGCTGTGGGAAGTCAAAGCTTCTCAGAGGAGTGTTAAGCTGGTGTAGTAACCTGCCTTCCTTGTTTAATTTCCTTTAAGCTGAAATACCTGAAAGACTGCAAATGAAAAGCATCTGTGATGCTGGGGAGGGAGCTGTGGGAGAGGGTTTAAAATAGCTATAAGCTAGGCCTAACTGTCAGTGAAGCTGCTGAACTTCTGAGGGCAAAAGGCTCATGGAGTGGACTAGGGTACAGGTGGTTTTAAGCGGGATGGTTGTTCTCTTTGAGCTACTTTTTGAAAGATGTTGATAGCTTTCCAAAAGGTACAATAGGAGTGTTAAAAAATGGTATGAGAGAAGAGATAGGAAAATGTAGGCTCTGGAGAGAACCTGCTCCCAAGGCTCTCCAGCTGCCTTTGCCCTCCAAAGCTCTGTAGTTGCTTGTCAGAGAGAGAGAGCCACCCAGAGGAGCAGGTAGTCCATGTCAAGAAGGTGTCTCCAGTAGATGGGTGACTCTCCGTTGCCTGTAGAGGACAGAGGCAGCTGGTTGGGTGGCTGCCCTTCACCTCAAGACACGCGAGATGACTTTCCCATGAAGAGACTGCGTGGGGAGATGTCCCTGATGTCTCTGGTGCAGTTGCTGCTCCTCGGGGTCTCCACCTGGAGAGGTTCAGCTGGAACAAGCTCCTAGGTGCCAAAGCTTGCAGGTATGGTAGAGGGGGTGGCCGTGGAGCAGGCACTGTGCCTTTAGACCCTGGTGAGGGTCTAAACAAGCAAAGTTATGCATTGCTTTCCTTTGCTGACCTCCCTTCATGGAGAAACAGGGCCGGGCTTGTTAAGTAGGATGGGGGGAAGTGCGGAGGGAGGAATGGGACTCCAAGGAAGGGCAATTCCTAGAGGAGTCTCCCGGCTGGTTCACGGCACAGGGAAGGCTCCACTCCGGTGAAGGCTGGGAAAGGCAGTGCCTGCAGAGCTGGGAGGAGAAATCTTGGTGGCCAGGGTGGCTCGCAGCAAGGATGGGTCCCCAGCACAACCCACGTGGGTGGCAGGGGTGCCTTTAGTGCTGGGGCCTTTCCAGAGGTCGTGGGCTCTTCAGCCAGGAGCCCCTTGGTAGCTGGGCTTTCAGTGGTGCCAACGCTTCTCCTTCCAGACACGCTTTTGCTCTTGCACGTGCGGAAGCATCAGGACTACCCCGTAAATCTGTACCTTGATGGTCGCGCTGCTGTGATTGCGCTGCCCTTGCTTGGGGCCACAGCCTGTCACAGCCTTGCAGAGGGGCTCTGTGAAACACAAGCCCTCTTCTGAGGAGGCTCACACAGGTTCCTCGCCCAGCCTGCTGATCGATACCTACTCACGTGCTGCACGGGCGCCTCTTCCTTCCAAGGCTTGGCAAGATGGGCTGCTCTGCGTGGTGGCAGCTGCTTCGCTTCAGCCCTAGCTTCCTTCAGCAGGTTTGCGCAGATAGAGCGGTGATAATAAGAGAGGCAGCTCAGTACCAGCTCCGGCTAGAGGTTACATCTGAGGGTAATGGCATGAGGGGACCAGTTGGTGACCATGCTGTGAGGTGTTGGAGGCTGGGGATGCCCTTCTTCCAGGATTGCTCTTCTTCCAAGATGTCCTTCTTCCTGCCCTTCTTCCAGGATGTCCTTCTTCCTGCCCTTCTTCCATGCCCTCCTGCGACAGGAGGCCGAGCGAGGTGAGCTCGGGGGCTGTGGAAGGCTGTGAGGAAGCTCTGGGCGCCCACCTGCAGCTCCACACAAGATCTCTCATCCGTGGAGCTGCCGAATGGGTCCTGGTGGTGGCTGCCGCGTTGCAGTGTGCCTTTCTCACAGCATGAGCAGGAGCTTTGTGGTCTCTGGGGTGTTCTGAAACCCCATAGCTGAGCTCAGGAGGTTCCATGAAAACTAAGTTGCTGGCTTTTGCCATGCGGAAGGCTGGAGCACACGATCCGAGCGGCTCAGTAAAGCCGGGCTGAGGAAGACGGCTGCAGTGCAAAGCCTCACTCTTTAAATGACACAGACTTCACCAAAAGCTCTTAGAGAAGACCCTGAGCCCAAGCTCCTCGGAGGAGCAGCGTGATGTTCTCCTTCCCCAGGAGGCTTTGTGAAGGACCGTATCTCTCCCTAGGAAGCACCTCTGAACCTTGCAGTTGCTCATAAGGCAGATGAGAGTATGGAGGGTCAGCACAAGAGGCACAGGGAGCCATCCCATGGGATTTGCTCCTGGGGACGTGCCTCTGTTCAAGACCAGGGACTTCCAGTGCCCCGGGAGCTCTGTGGCCCTGGGACCATGGGGTGGCCAAGCTGTGCTGTCTACTTAGAGCAGCCCAATACCTTTCCAGCACCTCTGCCCTGCTGAGGCCACCCATGTTCCTTCTTTGAAAGCAATCTCCATTTCCAAAAAAAGCCCTTCTTTCAGGTTAAAATGACCGAGAGCTCCGAGTACCTGCATTTCCGACAATGTTCCTGAACTTGGGGAAAGCGGCTGCTTTTTGTAGGAACAGCTGTGGGGATCCAAGAGCAGCTTCTGAGAGCCTCACAGAGCCGCACGCAGCCAGCCGGCACCACGCTGCCTGAAAGACCCCATTTAACACATTTTTTTTTGCTGAGACAGGTAGTAATTTCTCCTTGACTGCATTTTCTCCATGGGAATTTGTTCTTCTGAATCTTCTGCAGCACTTCTCTGCACCAGTGTGTAGAGAGTAGGATGTGTGCCCACTCACTCCAGAAAATTAGTTGTTCTTGGCTACATCTGCTAGCCTGGAATGGCCTCAAACTCAACGCTGGGACCGAGCTGCTCAACTTCTACCGTGTTCAGCGTGTGAAGGTGGTCTAGGAAAGGGCTTGGACACCATAGTCCATCCCTGATGGCTGTGTCCAAGCTGAAGCATGAGCTGGATCTTGGACACCATAGTCCATCTCTGGTGGCTATGTCCAAGCTGAAGCATGAGCTGGATCTTGGACACCATAGTCCATCCCTGATGGCTGTGTCCGAGCTCAAGCATGAGCTGGAGATAGTCTCCCCAGCTTGCTCCTAGAAGACCCTTCCCAGGTTTCTGCTGCTTGTGTTCTTTTGGCACCACCAAAGAGAGCATCCCTGAGCCCCTAGATGTACCTTGGGAGAGGATGCGCGTTCCCCATCCTCACCTGCCCATCAACCACGAGACAACTTGGAGTGCTTGGCACGGAGCTCAGTGCCGTTACCATTCCGATCACAGCCTGAACGACGTGGTTTCCCCCTTCCCACTGGACCTCCCTTTCCCTAGGAGGCCCACGGGGCTCCTCCGGGCGCGTTGCTGCTGCAGAGCAGGAGCTGGGGGAGTTAGGCAGATGCCAAACGGGTGACGTTTGTTCCCCCAAGAAGTGTTGGAGCACTCAAAGCATTGTGGCCTCCAACTCCTGCTCTTCCCAGAGTGCCCAAATCCTGCTCGCCCAGGAGCCCAGCTTAGCTGGCCTTCCCAAAGTTCTGAAAAATCCCTAGGATGGGCTTCTTCTGCCCAGCGAGTGCTCACAACAGCCCTTGGTAGGCCACAGCAGGAGATGCCGTGAGGCTCCCAGAGGAGAATCCCTGAGCAGAAGTCCCGGGTGGTGACACAGGTGTCACCATCTAGGTGCTCTGATGGACAGCTGGAGAAGTGAAACCTTAAAAATCCAAGGCTAAACCTCAGCAGAGAATCCAAGCCTTAGAAACGAGGCACTGTGAGGAAATCCCTCTGGTTGTCCTGCCTCAACTGCAGGTGGTAGGAGCCTCTAGGAGGTTCCTCATTTATAGCCTCCTAGTAGCCTCCTCATTTATGCAATGAGCTGGGAGCTGCGAAGCAAGTCGTGTATTGGAGGAGACGTTATTCCTGGATGCAGGACTTACCCCAAGGAGCCAGGGAAGGGCTGCAAACCCCGGGCACTGTGAGCAGCAGGGCCCAGGAGACCCAAGGGCTCCGTTCACAGGCTTTTGCCACAGGGATTAGGAGCTGTGGGGGCAGCAGCGCTTCGAGGAGCCACAAGGACCTCAAGGAGGTGCCGAGCGGGACTGGCTCGCACGGCTTCGTTCGAGCCAGAGCCCCCGGCTTTGGCAACGCTTGGGCCAATCCTAACACAAAGCTAGGATTTTCCCAAAGCGAGGACTTCCCCAAAGGAAAGGTGTGGCCTCCTCTCCTCGTTGAGCGCATGGGAGAAGGCTTCCCAAGGGCCGTGCAGGGACAACCTGTTTCTCCAGGAACTGAAGCCTCTCTTGGATTTGAGGGCGGCCAAGATGTGTTGTCCCAAGTCCCTTGTGACCATTGTGGAAAGTAGGGGAGGAAGCTTGTGGGAAGCTTGCTGGGTGATGTCCCTGGTGCGTAGCAGGAGCTCCTGCCTCCCCGGAGGCCCGGAGGAGGTGAGATGCCCCTTAACCTGGTCATACGAAGCCTCCCAACCTCGGGCTAACGCTTCCCTTCCTCCCTTTTGCAGAAGAACGAGTGGCTCTGCTTGAACTGCCAAACCCAGAGGCTGCTGGAGGGGAGCCTGGGAGACCCTGCCCCGATGCCGCTGCCCGCCACCAAGCCGGCGCCGCCGGGCTCCCCGCGCCACCCAGCGCCGGGCAGC